TTGCAGTGCACTTTCATGTGTTTTCTCAGGGAGCTGGGGTGGGTGTAGGACTTGTCGCAACCTCTCACTTTGCAGTTGTAGGGCTTGTCGCTGGTGTGGACATGCGAGTGCTTCTTCCTGTCGCTGCTGTTGGCGAAGCGCCTGTCACAGCCCTCGAATTCACATTTGAACGGCTTCTCCCCTGCAGGAGGCAATGGGCGAGCACAGCCATTAGCGGCGGCGGCAGGGCCGAGAGCGACGCATCCCGGCACCTCCCCAGCCCACAGCCTCCCGGACCCCTCTCTCCGGCCCTGGCACGGCTCCTCTCCCCGCGGAGGCTCCTCTCACTGGCCTTGCCCTTTCCCGCCGGCCCCGCCGAGCATCCCCCGGAGCCGCCGCTCCGTGCCCACCCCGCTGCGAGGCCAGCTCCGCACGTAGAGCACCCTGCCTGGCCAGCTTCTCTTTCCCTGTCCCCTGCCCTGTGTGTCAACGTGGCGGTTTGTGCAAAAGACAAAGCTCCGAACCAAGGAAAACTTAAGAGGCCAAGTGCTCGTTCCGAGCAAATGTGTGCTGTCCCCGCGGACTTCGAAGTCCTGCAGAAAGAGCGGTCAGTGATTTATCCCTTCGAAGTTTTTTACGTTAAATACATTTCTCACAGTCCCCCAGGTGCAAGTGGAAATATTTTTCAGAACCTGGTTGGATCACATTTCATCCACTTCTTACTTGCACTGATTACACTACCACGGAAGATCCATATCCCCCTCCTTTTCCCCGCTCCCCGGCTTGCTGATACCGTGTGTACAGGCACAAAGTATTTCAGAAAGACATTGATTGTGGGGGCAAAACGATAAAGATTCAGCAGAAGAATGATTAGGCCGGTGCACGGCACTGTCGCGAGGGTAGGATTCCCTTTTCTTTTGAACCTATAGTCATGGAAGGAATTGCATTCGGCATTAATCTGTCTGGTAATATGATAAGTAACGTTACGCATAACAGAAATACAATCATGTTGCTGGAGTCGTGTGAAAGTTTAACCTCTAATCGTGTGGACCTGGCATGGTACACGATATACAAGAGGTTTTCAAGTAAACACGCCACAGCCAGCTTCAGGATGAAATGTTGACGGCATTATCGTCGTTGACAATAACAAACTGCAAACCCCTCTTGCCAAGGGTTACCCAGGTCCTGTACCAGCGAGTATGAAAATAACTTTCTGATCCCTCAAAAGCCAGAGAGTATCAGGAAGGAGAGGACTCCACAAAAATACATGGTCGAACCTTACCGTGAAGAGCAAACAAAGCCACTGTGTTCACCATCATGGCGTATGTGGTCAAAAGGACTTCCATTATTTGGGTTTGTGTGTTTGTTTTGGTTTGGGTTTTTTAAAAAAATTCTTGGGTTGTGCGTTTGTGGGTTTTTTACCCTCTTAGTTGGTCATGATTAAATTTAGGAGGGACTCAGCCCACATCGGGTTCGGCTGCGAGCAGAGGCAAATAAAGGAAGGCATTCCAAATATTTCACATGAATGCACTTTATGCAAGGTGGGTGGGAAAAGCTCACGGCTCCTCGTTTAAAGTATGTCCTTTCCGCACTGTAATAATCAATGAGGAGCACTCACATCCTGCACCCTTAACACTTGCATAGAGGATGGGTAAATACCTGGCGTTGGAGGGAAGGGGGGGAAGAGGTTAAAAATAAGGTCTCTTACAAAACCATGCGGATTCTGTAACCAAATACTGTCGACGTACAGCGGTGCAAATGCATAGACACACGCCCGCATATAATCTAATTAGAGTTTCACGTAAGGAAACAATTTGACCTTCAGCATCTAAGTTGAGACAACAAATCAAGGATATTAGTGTAGTACAAGCAAGCAGTAAGTTAGGAGACCCCAGGGAAAGCCATCCTCATAAGCACTCCGCTTGTGCAAAGTGAGTTCCATTCAGGTAAAAGAGGGCTGCGGCGCACTGCGCTTTGCCGAGAGTTGAAAAATGTTCAACTTCGCTTAACCCCCTGAAAGAGCCACTGAAAGGTCCGTCCGTGCAGCCGGGTTTCAAGTGAGAAGAGTGCAGCATTTTCTCAGCTGCCCGGGTTGCATTCCCTGAACGCCTCAATAAAGAGGAGCCATCCGAGACATTTGCAAGTATTCCTTTCGCGAGAGCAGGTTTTCTTACGTGGAAATCCCTACCCGGCAGGGAGAGGAGATTGCACAGGTCGCGGCTGCCGCAGCCCGGGCAGTGAGCTGCAGCCACGCAGAAAGTTCCGCGGGCGATGGAGACGCGTAGGACCTGAACCGCCATTTTACCCCCACACTTGTAGCTGGGCAAAAGTGTTCAGTGAAATTCAGCTTGGAATTGGTGGCATAATCCCCCGTCTCCGGGAGTGGATTAAGGTATTTACCAACTTCTCCGGGTGAGTTGTGGTGGGGGGAAGCCGGAGGCGGTGGCCTCCGGGCTGAGGGCGAGGCGCGGGGCGACGGGGGCCGCAGGGAGGGAGCGGGGCTCCGTCCCACGGCTCGCACTATTGTTCCTGGCCCTCTGGGAAGGCGGCGAAGCGATCCCAGCCCGTCCTGCTCGTCCCGCTGCCGCCGCCTTAACGGCCTTATCCTCCAACCTGGAAAACTCGCATATCACCAGATATCCCTCTGCCTGCTCCCTAGCCTCGGAGAAATCAGAAGTCATTAATATTTAAGGAGGCAATAATTTTCCTGTTGAATCTAGAACTGTCTTCATGAATAATTCGTAGTGAGTTCTATTAGGGTTTCAGAAACATTGCTTTTTTGACAACTTCTGGGTGTTTAATAGAAACGGTGGAACCATAAAGGCCCCGCAGGAGTTTGCACAATACAGCAATTAATCACCGGGAAAGTTAAAGCCAAAAGTACAGAAACGCAGAGTGGTGTTTAATAAACGCAAATCTCCGATCTCGGGTTGCCCTGAACCTGCGCCTCCGATGTAGGTCAGTTTTCCCAAGAATTTAACCATTTTCTGCTTCAGAGACTTCAAACAGTGAGGCCGTTAAAGAGCAGTAAAAGTTTGTTTACTTAAGAAAAACACTGTCATTAAGAGATGAGCTCTCCCGGTTAATGGCTGTACCTGTGCTGATCCAACAAGGAACTGGCTCGGATACAAATTACGTGACCCGGGGATACCCCTTTTTCCTCGAAAAAGGGGCCGAGAAGGCAGCCGAAGAACGCAACTGTGCTATCGTCCACCTCCTCCCCCACCTCCCGCCCTGCACACAGACTTGCTCCTCATAGAGCGATGGAAAAATAATGAGGTGACGAGTGACGGTCGCTGTAAAATCTCAGTGCTATGTTTAGAAGATAGCGATACGAAATTAGTGTATGTTCTGCATATTATATCACGTCGAGCTCTATCATAAAAAATGCGACTCTTGGAAGGTCAAGCCCTGCACCGAGTATGGGGGAAGGGGAGTTTTATGAACTGGAAGGCGAAAAAAATCGTTTGGCTGTAAGCAGATCTTACAATAGGATTATGTAGTTTCCCTCGCAGTGCATAAGGCTGTACATAAGGGGGTGGGAGGTGGAAAACCCTACACTGGAACAGATTAAATTTTCCAAAAAGGGCTTATTTCTTATCTTCTTCTTCAGAGGGGAAAAAAAAAAAAAAAAAAAAAAAAAAAAAAAAAAAAACCAAACCAACAAGCCAGTGCTACAGACTACAAACACCGGCTGCTAAACTAATTAATACAACTTCACAAGCTGCTCCTGGAAGTGTGAAAACTTTCTACGTGCAATTTCATTAATTATAAATGCTTTCCTGGTCGGAAGAGTTCAAACGTAGTTTTGCAAGATCGTCCATCGAGTTACTTTATTTTCTATTAACTAGAACTAACAGATGTTTCTGACACATGTCCCAATTTCGCTTAACAGATCTGCAAATGACATTTCAAAATGTACAGGCCGAAACAATACCAGGGTTTCTTTCCTTTTCTTTCTTTTCTTTTTTCTTCCCCCCCCCCCATGAGAATCAGAACTTGCAGCTCCCCATATTCGCGAATGCAGAAAGTCGTTGGAAGGCAATGCTCATTAAAAATGTCAGTGTTATTCAGATCAAACATTTGAAACTCTCCCTGCCCAAAACAGAACTGTTGAACGAAAAGGTCGCAGCTGTGTTATTCTCACAATGTTCGAGCAGCAGCATCTCAGCGACATCAGTCAAAACTGACTAGACAAGTTGTAACTTCTATTGTTCACTTTTAATTTGTGAGCTTGCACAATGATTTCATTTTTTCCCCCGACTACTTTAAATCGGAAAAAAAAAATCCTCGCCCGTGTGAATAAGCAGAAATAGTCGCTATATCACTCCATATTTACACACATTTACCCGCATAAACATTACAGCAGCCTCTCTGCACAACCAGAAAAAAATATGGACGAGAATTCTAAGATCTGCACTTGCTGTCCCCTTCCCCCCTCCTTCTCCCCCTTTTCCAAACGGTAAAGAAGAAAACAAATCGGAGAATTTATTTTCCAGAAGTGCTTGGCGTGCATTCAATAACAACTCAAAGGATACATTAAAAAAAAAAAAAGGCAAAACAGTACACTGAATAACAGAGAGAAAGAGAGTAAAGAGAGCTTTACATACTGACCTGTATGAGTTCTTTTGTGTATTTTGAGATTCTCTGATCTGGCAAACACTTTGCCACAGCCTGGGAAAGGGCAGGGGAAAGGTTTTTCACCTGTGTGGACTCTGATGTGATTTACAAGTTTATATTTGGCCTTGAAAGGTTTCCCTTCTCTTGGACACTCTTCCCAGAAACATATGTGATTGGACTGCTCGGGTCCTCCAACGTGCTCCACCGTGACATGAGTCACCAGCTCGTGCATCGTGCTGAAAGTTTTCGAGCATAATTTTTTAGGAGTCTGGTCCAACTCAATCCACTTACAGATGAGTTCCTGTTTGATGGGCTGCCTCATGTAACGAAAGAAGGCGCCCGGGCCGTGGTGTGGAGCCAAGTTCACGTTCAGGTTCATACCACCGTAGTTATGAAGTGAAGAAGCAGCAAAATGATCTGTCCTGGAGGCTGGTACTTGAGTGAAATGTTCAGACCTGGCGTACATTTCTCCAGGTAACCCCAGTCTGAGCTGTCCGTTTAGATGGCCACCTGGAGCTGCATGGGGAGGCTGCTCATGGAGTCCAGTGAACAGAGAGGGATTCCCAGCTTCTGAGTGGTGGTGGTGGTGACCATGGTGTCCGGGGTAGCTACCTGTTGTTGAGACAAACAGTCCGTGGTGAGAACTTGCAGGGGGCTGCTGCTCAGTCAGCCCTGGCATGAGTGGGGCCAGCAGGTCTCTGCATATGAAGAAGTCCCTACCTGCTGCCAGAGCCTGGGCTGGGTGAGAGACGGGGTAAGGGGCTGATGGTGACTGCGCCGGGCCAAACGCTCCCGTTTGACTAGAGACCACCTCGGCTTGGCCTGCCATATGATGATGATGATGATGATGATGATGGTGGTGGTGGTGGTGGAGCTGGTGGTGGGGATGAGGGGCAGGGCTGAGCTTA